TTTAGTAGCAATTGGCCAAGTCGTTCTTGAGAAGAAGTCGAAAATGTGAAATGTTTACAGACGACGGACAACAGACGGACGCTGGACCCTCTTTGATCAGAAAGGCTCATTTGAGCCTTCGGCTCTGGTGAGCTTAAAAGTGATGAAAGGGTGCCCCCCCCCCCAAACGTCTTCTACCAACATCTAATTATCTCAATTAAAGGGCCCTCTAAGGGGTTTAGATAGAAATTATCTATATATACCTGTATTCAAATGTATTTAAACAGAAACATTCAATTTTTTATGTCATTTTTCCTTTTGGACATATCCTATTAAACGAGATATATATTTTTCTGCTGTTAAATGTGTATTTCAATGTATTTGAATAAAAGTAGATATATAAGAAAGTAACTGCTTAGTGCCTTGAATTGAAGTTACTATTGTATTTAATTTAGACTACTTTGTTAATTCAAAATAACAAAGGTGCAAATCAGATGAGGATTCTTAAAAATTACAAGGAACTTTTGGAAAATTTAAAATCACAAAATTTTACCAAAATCAATGATATCAAAGATCACGACTTTTCAACTCTACATACAACCATTCCCCGCGATAAATTAAAGTCCAGTCCTTTTGACATCATTGACAGCTGCTTTTTCAATAAAAATGAAACTCGTAAATTTACTTACCTTGTCATTGGTCATTTGCAAAATTATTTTGTTAAAAACATTCTTATTGTACACACAAGTACACTGACGTAGATATTTGAAAAAAAAATGCTTCAGTTTCTGGTTGACAGTATCTATGTGGTTTTTGGAGACCAGGTCTACCAACAATCTGTTGGAATTCTCATAGGTACCAATTGCACCCCGTTATTAGGAGACCTACTTTTGTATTCATATGAATTAGAATTTATTCAAAATCTTAAACATGAGAAGAAGAAAATACTTGTCGCCTTCAACTCGACATTTAGCTATATCGACGACGTATTGTCAATTAACAATAGATATTTCCATTCATATCTCGACACGATATATCCCTGTGAGCTTGAAATAAAAGATACTACAGATTCTGACATATCTGTTTCATATTTGGATATTTTACTAGCAAGAAAACGACGTAAATGGTAACCTCACAACTAAGCTTTATGATAAATGTGATGACTTTAACTTTTCAATCGTCAGCTTCCCTTACTTATGCAGCAGTGTACTGAGTAACTTTATCACCTGCATACAGGATTTATATCTCTCAGTTGATTCGATACGCAAGAGCATGCTCTACGTATAAACAATGTCTAAAACGAGGTAATTTATTGACAAACAATTTGATGAAACAAGGTAGTAACAGTCTCCTTTAAAATCAACATTTCGTAAGTTTTTTGGTCGATACAATGACCTAGTCAGCAAATACAATCTATCATTAAGTCAATTGCTGACTGACGTTTTTCATACTAATTGTTAGGTCATTTTTTACACAATGAATTTTCTACGGATTTTTCCGTTATTTTCCGATCATGACAAGAAGCACACGGTGAGTGAGACCGGTCGGCAGGGGATGCTCACTCCTCCATGGCACCGCTTATGCTTTAGAAGTCCGTTTTTGCTCTGATTTTGCTTTGATTTGTATTGTTTGAATGGCCTTTTGAGCTTGAATACTGCTTGTATCTCCGTATATTTCATTAACTCTACTTGTACCCCTTAGAGGTCCTCTTAACTGAATGTGATGATTAAGGAGGCTTAAAACACCACAGTTTATTTTAGATTTCATTACAGTACCACTTATTGTGAAGATTTCAAATATCCAAATGGAGTTTATAATACAATTAATATTTTAAAGTGATTTAAAAAAAAAAAATGGTTAAATGTTTCATTTTAATTTTATTTTTATCAACCTTAATGACAGGTTGTACTTGCTTACAAGGTCATTGTATCGATCATAAAACTTGCGAAATGATGACTTCAAACGAGACTGTTGATATCCTTGTTTCATCAAATTGTTTGTCAATAGCTTACTTCGCTTGACAGTATATAATTATATTTTTAAAAACAGAAAGACAAGTACATCAATGAACAGGAGTACAGTCCTGTTATATGACAAGTCAATTATTATTTTAATGTCAAGTCGATTTCAACTTGAATTTTCTCTATACGCGCATGTTTTAGTTTTCTGTGTAGTACGTATAGGCGTCGGAACCGGTGAGGGGGGCTTAGCCCCCCTCCCCCACTTTTTTGCAAAGATAGACACAATATAGGCATTGAAAATTGGGGCTTAGTCCCCAGACTTTTTTTGGGGGTTGGTTTAGTCCCTCACTTTTAATTAGCCCCCCCCCCCTTTCAATTTGCTTCCGACCCTATGGTACGTCATCAAAAAGTGTTGTGTAAAGAGCCTTCTTAAATAGTTGTTTTAGCTAGTAGACGTTTTCAGGGGAATAAACCGAAGAAAGAGCCGAGAACGCTTTTATCGGGTAATCTTAGAAATATTTGCTTTTTTCTCATTTCCTCGTCTTTCGTGAAGGCGTGAAAGTTTTACTTTCAGTTTTAAAAAATAAATTACATGTATTAGTTTAAAAATGATAAGATGGTTCCTTTTAAACCTGAAGATCGCATTTAGGCCACAATTTAGACAAAGTGAACGAGCCTCCGAGTCCAAGTGGGGAAAATACATTTGTTTTTGGCCTGGGGAAATGTAACAGTTGATTGTTGACATAACATGGTGAGAATATTATTAAATATAATATTGCTCTATCAAAAAAGAACATACTAGATAATTTAATTTTGATAATTTGAGAAATAACACTGTAATAATAAATATTAATTAGTAACGGTTACGAGATCATCAATTCATGAATAAAGTATGCATTTCTCCATATGTAGAAAAAAAACCTTTCTAGCTCTGTGCCGTACGAAGGGAGGTAACTACGAAATGGACATGAAGTGGACATGTTTCCTTCTTGAACTTAGCCATTAAAATAACGTGATATAAATCTATTTTCCTATTTTTAAAACAGGTACATCTGTTAAATTCAGAACTTTATAGAGATTACCCTTTAAAGGTATATTAATCTATTAAATTCCCAGCGGTCCACGAAACTTATTGATAACCACTACACATTTGCCGAGATAAAAAGAATTGCCCTCTCCTGACTCCGCCCCAGCAATCTTAAAAAGCAGACCCCATTGAAAGCGAGTAAATAAGGCTTAAAGTAATAGTGTTCAAGCGCGGTCATTTACATATAAGTCTTTTGATGTCGCCAGAGGATGGACAACTTTCTAATTATTTTTTAAAGCATTCCCAGTCAAATGTTTGGACACTATGTACATTATTGAAATGTTTCTTGCATTAGCAGTAAAAATCTCATGTTAATATTTTTGCCTTATTTATAATTTACACATTAAGAATCCTTTTTCTAACAAATTATTTCTGAATTAAATAATAATTACGTTTCTTTGATTAATTAATTTGTTGGCAAATGTAAATACTTTAAATAATACTTATTCAGGAAATCTGATTGGACTGGGCAACAAAGAATATATAAACATATTTACCTTCTCCATACAAAAATACAAAGGTATACATATTCAATGAACTAAAAAAAGTACAGATTACAATACGGGTAGAGAAACACACACACACTCACAGAGAGAGAGAGAGAGTGAGAGAGATATGAGCATGAAATTCAATTGTATAAATGACAGAAATGTTTAGTTGGTCTGATATATAATGTACACAATCTGTAGTGTTATAATTCATTTGATACAAAAACTTCGAAGCCCCATGCATGTAGAAAAAAAATTTAGCATACGGTACTCCCAATTTTGTTTGTCTTGTTCTGTTTTGTTAATTTAAAAAAAAAAAATAAAATAAATGTTTTTCATTTATAAAATATAGTGTTATCATAAGATAACGTACGCACTTTTGGCAACTTTGTCAATTAGCACTCAGCAGCTCTGGATTTTGTTTTTTGTTTTTGGATTTTTTTTTACATATGGTATTCAGGTAGTTTATAGAACATAAAATCAAATATTCTGAAGCAAGTAATTTCGTTAATAACAATACATATAACGAAGTAAAGGAAAGAAATAGCTACAATCCCCTTCCCCCAAAAGCATTCAGCATTTAATGCGTGGATAACTGGACGTGAATCACTCTAATAAAACAGAAAGTTAATTCAACCTTATGAATTCCGCCATAATTTCACACCCTCGAGATTTTTATTTTATGTCCACGATAGATATCAACCCCTTTATCTGTTGGGTACAGAGAGAAGAGACAGAACACCGACCCACGCGCCTGTCTCTTATCACAGTGCCCGTGTTGGTCATTTATTTTCGATGGCAAATTATGATGGCTTTTTAACAATAGCAATGAAATATTGGCCCTTGGGTCAACAATCTTAATCCGGCCAAAGGAGCACTTGATTTTGGCGTTTTGATGTGAGAACCATCTTCAGCCAACAAGCACTGACTGCATTAATATGTTTTATAGGCAAACAGTTTATCTAAATATTTTTGTCGCCTCGTTCTGTGGACTGTCAACATTTAGGGTTAAGAAATGATCGCAAAGGTCTGGGATCACAGATTTCACTTTACATCTACAGTGTTATCCACTTTCAAAGACTTACCACCAGATTCGCATAAAATAAAAAAAAAATACAAAAACTTTTTTTTCCAACGAAGGAACTTGCACCCCCTTTTTCCCCATTAGTTTTCATTTTACTCATCAGTCAAAAGAATGTCTGAATTACCGGTATCCATCGTTTTGCTTTGTTTTTGAAAGACACTAATAAATTTGGTTGGTTATTGAGGGAAAAGCATATATTAGCAAACTTTTACAACATTTCTAATAAAGAGTTTTTATTTGGAATTTCTTGTACACAATATGCCGAAGAATAAGATGTAATTTTACTGTCTCTGTTAATGGTCAAATGACATACATTGTATTCCAGAGAAATAATGACATACATTGCAGGATCTACAATCGAAGCCGGCTTTTAAGAACACGTGTGAGAGTGTGCAATAGGTTTGTATGCTGTACACTGTAAAAAGACGCCTCTCCCTGTTTGACAGTTTGCTATGCAATTTCCATCTGTACAGTGCACGTTGGGGAGGTTTTTTTGTAGAAAAGAATAAATATTGTGATATTTAGATTTGTGAACATGGCTAACTCGTCAAACAGTCTGTGTAAACTCCGGATATTTCGGCTCTCTACAAATCGTCACGCAGATCATTAGAAGAATAAAGAGGGTGTCCTGAACGTTTCCATCGCCTTCCTTAATTAAAGTAACCCGATAGCTCAGCTTACGTCTTGGGCGGAGTTGTCAAAATCGTCAGAATAAAATTAAATCTTCTACATGATGCAAAACGACAAAAAATGATCACTAGTGCAGTATCTTCTTGTTTGTTGAAAATATAGACTATGTGTTTGTTTAACTATTGGTTAGGTATTTTTAACTGTTGATCAAATGTTGGGTGGTCGAATGTTTGCGCATGTGCATGCTGCGTTCGAATCGTTTTCTCGAGCTGCTGATGTTGTGAACGTATGGCGAGTCTATTGACGTGAACTGGAATTGGTACAACTATTTTAGGTTTATTTGGAACCTCCGGCCCTGCCCTTCCATGTATCATTCCAGCTTTGACTCGTTTCCATTTCGCTCGCCTATTTTGAAACCAGATTTTGACTTGAACCTCGCTTAGCTTTAAGTTATGTGCAATGTGAGATCGTTCAGTTAGCGATAAGTACTTTTTGCTGTGAAATTCTTTTTCAAGCTCAAGTAATTGTTCACTTGTAAATGCAGTCCTTCTCCGGCGTGTTTTGACTGACACAGTACCAGTTCTTTCGGGAATAATCGTTGCTTTGTTATCACCTTCGGTGTGTTCCGATGTCAATCGAGAATCCTCAAAAACTGACGTCATTTCCAGGTCGTCATTGTCATCCTCGCTTGTCTCCTCCATGCTTTGTTCAAAACTCTTAACATCGTCGTCAGATTCGGAGCGTTTAGAGTGTGAATACACTGTAATAAATAGAAGGGTTCAGTTTTATTTAAAATAATTCAATTCAACACTTTGATAAAGCATACAAATTAATATTAAGTCATATTTGAAGGAGATGAAAAATAATTTTATATATATATATATATATATATATATATATATATATATATATATATATATATATATATATATATATATATATATATATATATATATAATTTAATCAATAATAATTTTATCAATATTTTATTATGTAAAGATGCACAGTTGGACATCAGGCCCTCTCCAAGAGGGTAAAGAAAGAAAGAAAGAAAGTAAAACCATTTATTCCTTTAATCAATTTACATTAGAGATTATGAATATTCCTGAATTATATAGACCAAAACATGTGTTTGTTAAAATAAAAACATTTAGTTTTTATTTAATTTAAATATAATGTATTCAAAATTACAAGAAAACTTTGAAAGGAATCGTTTTGTTTTCAATTTAACTAAAACAACTTTTTTAATAAAAGGAAAAAAAATATAAATAAATTTAAAACCGTTTTTCTTAACTGTGTTTATTACAGAAAAAAACATTTTTAAAAATATTACTTAAATTAATGTATATCACAATTTAATTTGAAAACACACACACACAAATAAATAAATAAAAAAATAGATAAATAAAAAATAAATCAATTATAAATCCTGCGAGCTTAGAAAGAATAACAAAATTTAATCTTTCCTCTATATGTAAGAAATGGAATATTTAAATGTTAATATGTAATTAACGATATTTTCAAATTCTCTGCATGAACGTTACTTTAAAAGAACAATATTAGTTTGTTTTGATAAAAATATATATATCATAAAAATCTTTAAAGTAAGTAAACTTTTTTTTAAGTCAGCATAAACTAAATAAAACGCATTTTTTGGGGTTGAAAATAAAATATTCTGATTTGATTCACAAACCGCTATGTAATTCAAATTATTACAATTATTATTTTCATTTCTTTCTGAATGTCAGAAAGAGGTCATTAATATCGTATTAAATCACTTCTTTAAATTGGTATTACTTGAAAAATAAAAAAAAATGGATATATTTGAAAGTAAAGGAAAATTGGCAGGAAAAGAGTCCACGCGTTTTGATTTTTCCTGATGTTTTCATTTAGCCGTCTGTCACCGTATGAAGGCTATAATTCATTAAAATGACTTGACCACTGTCCAGTCAGCATTGTCCGGTAGTGTGGTACCTATTTCATGTTCCCTAAGCTGTTCCCCGAAGCATCGTTCTTTAATTGGTTAATTATTTGTTGTATTCATGGTCCTGTGTCTAATTTCCATGTGAACCTGATTTGGTATTTATTTTCGGTCATTCATAGAAAATGATTCAGAGGGGGAAACAAGTATACAATGAACTCGTTTGAATTAAACTGTAAAAAAGAACGAATGAATTTCCCATTTTGGAATGTTCTGTTATATAATCGACAAAGATTGAAACTTAGCAGGCCGATGTCACGTGAATTTCTAAGCTAGGATTCTATGTTGCTTCAACATTTTATTACAAATGGGATACAATATCTGTGAAACAGAAAAACGAATGCCTATATTAGCTAATTTTCTAATTTAGAGTTTGAACAAAATTGGTTTGAAAATGACAACTCTATTACTATATAATACATAGCATGTGAATATCATATTTTGAGTACATATATATACATAAAACGATTGTCAACGAAGCATAAGCTAGTTTTCAAATTCTTATTTGAAAACTAGCTGAACATTATTTTGAAGAAAACAAACCAAAATAAATACAATGTAATAATAATACACGTAAAAATAAAAAGAAATGAATTAAAAAAAAAAAACCATTTTATTTCTAAATAGTGCAAATAATTTTATATACAGATGATCAATGAATTCAAGACTTTTTTGATCTTACTGTTTAAACAAAATATAAAGTTGTATGCACTTTAAAATTTGCGTTTTAGCAAAAAAGATATTTATCAAATTGATAAACTGAGAGTTTTGAGAGTATTATATAATATTTTAAACCCTGAAATTCCTAATGTCCTTTTGTAATACTTTGTCTTGATTTTTCGGGACCTGACTTACCGTGAAGGTTTTGTCTTTTCTCCGAGATTTCTGTCGCTCTGTTCTGACAGATTCCCACAGGAGAAGATGAACCGGTCGGAGAATCGCTTCCGGTGGATGGAGATTGCATCCTCTCACACGGCAATGATGGCAGTTTAGATTTCGCGGGACAAAGTTGCTGTATTCCCGGCCAAGATTGAGCTGTCCCTAGGGGATGGCCTCTGGCGGGGAAATAGTTAGCGGGTAACATGGGTCTAGTCCCGAGGTACTGCTGATGCATGAGATGATGGAGGGGAAACGCCATTTCTGGGGAGAAGTTCAGCGGAGAAGGTGGTACGCTGTTTGTTGGTATGAACATCAAAGGGTTACTGAAGAAACGTCCCAAACGGGGGGAAGTCGTTGGATTCCCTATTAAGGAATCAATGGAAAATGATCCTATTCCCGAAGAAGGCTGAGACATTCTGCTCCTTATGTAGTTTATTATTTTTTGTCTAAATTCCCATTTTAATTTTTTCCAAAACTTCGGTCTTTGTTGTTGTTTCTTTGCTTAAACACATTCCTATTTTAAGTTAAAAATATATCAGGTGCGAATATTTATCGGGTATATGTCCGTTCTTGTCAATGTAACTTGGTCCTGTCTATATCAATTAAGAACTTTTGCTGGTTGATTTATAATATGAAATACTGATACCCTTTCGCCAAATGGTGAGGAGTGAATTTCTTTGGGAAGATTCTTTGTATCGCTTTCAATTCATCATCAATTTAGCAAACATGGGGGCTATTTTTGTTACTGACAGCTTTTTAATTAATTCAAGTGATTCTATTGGACTATGAAGTGACCTTTGACCCAACTCCTCCTTCGGAACTCATTTGAATGCTTCGGCCACTTGACGGTAGACGTTTCATTGGACGAACATGTATTTTTGGCCCAAAATAGGTAGTCAAATCGACTCAATGAGGCGCAAGTAATCATGATAAATGCAAGGCGATTATAGATGACACAGACTGAATTACTCTTGTTAATATATACCAGTAGATTGCGGCCATTTCCAACAGCCATAAAATACTATTGAGCGCCACCTCTGATAAAATTGAAGACCCTTAAGGTTAGGCGAGATAATTTTTTATTAAGGCTTTAAAATTTTACAGGTAAATAAGCACAAAGTTATCTGTGTGTACATGGGACCGTCACATCTTTGCTGGGTCCAATTAGCATAATCCTTAAGCAAATTATTTTTACATTTAATCCAATATTTAAATCGCTTTGATGATTCTCCGTTCCTTTGAAATCAATATCTTTTTTATGTGTGTGTTATGATCTTTTCCAGTCAGTAATTGTTATGCAATTGCAGAGACAATTTTAGATAAAAATGCTTTTCTTTATAAATTAAGTTACTTTTTTATTTATCTAATATTCTTTGAAAGTAAAGGAGATTTTTTTTCTAAAATGTACAGATATATTTAAAGCCAATATAGAAATTATCAACGAGAATTTAGGAACATATGACTCAACTCAAGTTGAAGCATTACAAATTAAAATATAAAGTTGTAAGTATGAATGTTGAATCATTAAATTTAATCAAATAATCTTTCGTCACATTTTTAAATCCGTGTCAATTAATCTTTATCTTACATGACAAACCAGAGTCGGCGTGGAAATCAATCAAACACTTGTAAGATTCAGATTTCTTGTTGGGAGCCATATTTGTTGACAGACAGTTAATCCCTTCCCCCTTCTTAATCGGTTGGGGGGTGTCAGATAATTTCACAATTTGAAGTTTCGTGTCCCCTCTAATCTATGCATGCTTGTCCTGAACAGCAACAGGAATTGCTTCTTGGCATGGTCCCTAAAACGTATACCACAATTGATGAAAATGGTGTTTATTTCTAGAAATCCTTCAACTTTTGTAAATTTCGACAATCGATTTTTATTTCATTTTTGAGTAAGCTTGTATGTTTGCACAGAAATCTGCCAATTACATTGTTTTCTTCGTGTCTGTTTCCAAATCTCGAAATAGCGTCATCTCTCACGGAGATTTTTTTCCCAAACGCACAAAAAAAAAGAAAAAAAAAAAGAAAAAAGAAAAAAAAAAAGGAATCTCTTACTTCTTTCAAGTTTTGAGAAATTACAAATGCTACATATTATTGAAACTGTTATTTACGTGTAAGGATGAATGACTCGTTTTTCATTATTTTACAAAATTAGAATTCATAGTTTTTTTCTTTTACGTTTCCCCCCTTTTTGCTAAAAAAGAAACACCTTAAAACTGTAAAATGGACTGTATCATAATCTTCATTAATATGTATGGAATATTTGGTAAAAGTAAGTGTAAAACAAACGTTTAATTTAGTATGAATTAATTAGCAAAAAAATCTAATGTTCGGATAAAATGAAAAAAAAAATTAAGCGTCTGTTGTAATCAGATTATTTATATAAAGTCCGCTAGCGAAGACTTACAGATTCGCTGTCCAGATGCCTGGTATATATATATTGTATAATTTAAAAATTTTAAGGTTTCGGGCGTACTACTGTTAAATTACGACTATACATTCTACTTTCAGGCTGCAGTCGTTCCATGTATCATTTTTTCACAATATTTGCATGCGACACCTGTGTTTGTGAAACATTGAAATAAACAAAATTACTTTGTCTTTCGTACTTGATTATTATTTCTTTAAACAACAAATTACACTTGATTTGTTAAACTAAATTAACAATAAAGGGGAACATTCTTCTTCGCATAATCAAGTAGGATTTAGATGTGACTGACGGTCATACAAGTCATGTCACCTACAGTGTATAGTTTCCTAACCTTATCTACGTTTGAACAGAATTAACAAATATGAAAATATAATCTGTCCTAAAATAAATTAATTTTTTTTTCATATTTCTAAAAATAAATATGGATTGTCGGTGCGTTATTGTAAAAGCAAAATGTGCTAAGAGGGGGAATATAATTTGAGTAAACTCAGCTATAAAGATGTTCACGTTTGGGTGATTAAGTTAACGAGTACTTCTTAATATTTTTAAACTATCCATCAAATTTAATTTTATTGGCTGCCACACGACAGGAGATTAAATTAAAAATTTCAGGAAAAAATGAGAATGTTATCAAATTATATGAACCATTATTCTCATTAAAGTACACTTCAAAGTCCTTCGGCGGGGCGGCTTTGAATGGTCGCTCTCCATGACACATCGAGAGAATTCGGGCGGAAAATTCGAGAGAAATTTAGAGAAGTTAATGTCTCCAAGTCTCGACATGATGCCTATACAAGATTTTATATGTATATACTGCCATGTTATTCCAAATAAATATAGCGAAGAAAATTCATAGGGTTTTTCCAATTAATTCTTTACTGCTTACACAATTTCAAAATCCGTCCTTTAAGCAACAGCTACGATCACTGTAAAATATCTTGTAAAAATTACAGTCCGTATGTTTTAATAAGTCTGATTTCTATCTTTAAAACGACCTTTTAAAAATGCATATACATTACCACTTGTGTTAGGCCCTATATGGTTATCAGTAAAAAATAAAAAAAAAAAATAATAAAAAAATAATAATAAAATAAAATAGATAAACTTTTGTACATGTATTTAGTTAACACTTATTTATTACTATAAAAAATTCTATTTATCATTATTATTTTAGTGATATCTTAATGATTCAATTATTCTAGAAATTAATTTTGACATTTTTTTTATTTATAGTAAAATACTTTTATTTTCAGTGGGATTGTCTTTTCATTCTTAATAAAACATATCTATTTAGCAAAAATTATATTGAAACTAGATCAGGAATATTATAAATAAGAGTAATTCGTTAGTATTTAGTGTTTAAATTTCATTAAGTTTGCATTATGAATTGAATATAAGAATCTCATAATTTTTGCAAAGATTAAAGAGAAACCTACGTAAGTTTTGTGGATATTAGCTATTTAGGATTAGCTGGTATGTCTACGGTAACAGAGTGCCCAAAGAGGACCAGTCATTCTCCTGCCTATCAAAATAATCATTTAACAGTAGTCAAATTGTCATATTGTAAACCTTGAATTTATCGGGTGACAGTAAATACAAAATTTACAATATGACAAAAGCAATGGAGATTTTTGTATATATGACTGCAATGGAGATTTCTGTACATATGAATGCAGTGGAGAATTGTGTACATATGACTGCAATGAAGATTTTTTGTACATATGACTGCAATGGAGAATTTTGTACATATGACTGCAATGGAGATTTTTGTACATACGGCTGAAATGAAAACTTTTGTACATATGACTGCAATGGAGATTTTTGTACATATATGACTGCAATGGAGAATTGTGTACATATGACTGCAATAGAGATTTTTGTATACATATGACTGCAATGGAGATTTTTGAACATATGACTGCAACATGGAAGAAGATCTAGAGCAGTGTACTGATAAACAAATAACGCATGTATATAAAACCAAATCAAATAACAACAAAATCACCATCATTAAAATTGACTGTAAGAAATATGGAGATGTCCTTAATATTTTTTTCCTAAATATATAAATTTTGTAAAATAAAATATTATAGTTAACATTAATTGGAGTTTTTAACGATAATAATCTGTTTCCCTTTTAAGAAGTTTAAATCCGACGTAGTCTGATGCAGTTCACACCAAGGAATTGATAAATTTCGTTTTATAAGTTCGATTAATTTGTAAACCATAGTGCGATACTACAAATAAGCAACCTAGCTTTCCGATGCTTTGTTCGTGTACTTCTGGACGAGAATGGTTCAAATTTGAGCATAAGCAATTTCTCTTAAAGTTACATAGTAAGTCAATATCATGTGTTTATTTTAAGATAATTGTATCATAAAGCTAAAAGATTTATGAGAAATATGAATAAAGCGAAATTTTGAGATCTCAACTGCACGGGAAAAGCAGCAAAATGTAAGTGCCGGAAAAAGAAAAGTTGTATGTTATCGTCAATATCAAGATTATGTGTCTTTTATTTTTAGCGTGAAACTTGTAAACAACATTGAAATGGAGCAATCAAAAGTGAGGAATAAGTTCTGATCATCTTTTTTGAAGATTATATCAAAATCCTCGGTTATCCGACATTTATATCAATGGAATTGACAGCATGGTGTCTTCTTCAACTTTTCTGCGCATGCGTACTTTAAAGAGGAAGAAGTGAAGCAATATTTTCGTGTAAGGGCAAACTAAAATTATTTTTACTTATATTTTTCTCCATAAAAGTAGATTTATTAGTTTTTGAAACCTGTCATTTTCTAAAACCTAATACTTTCAAGAATTGAATAAAATTTGCATGTGTCTTGCAAAAATTCTACTTTTGTCCATTTTCCCGTTTTTCCGTCAAGGTGTCTCTTTAAACTACGCATTTTAACTTTTTAAAAATATAATTGTCTTATATACATGTATCTTTTTTTAAAATGAATGATTTTGAACATTTT